CAAAAGACACACCCCCCCCCCCTCATGGTGCAGGATCGCCACCCCACCCTCACCCCCACCCTAGAAGATGCAATGCACCTCTCTGGCCAACAGCCTATCCCAGCCATCCGGGTTGCATTGAGGGCCTGCTCACAACCAGCCCTGCCCAACTCCCCCTCCCATTTCGCTCACAGCCCTTCCCTTGGTTGGGGCAGGGGTGTGCGTGCGTGCGTGCATATGTGTGTCCTGGTTCAGGGGCATAAGAGTGGGGGGAGGTCCATCCCCAAGGCTGCCTTGCCATGTCCCTGCCCCACCGGGGTTGGCAGAAGCAAGAGGGCAACGCCCTGGCAGCCCAGCTCAGCCCAGGACAAGGACACCCGGCACATCCCCTTCCTGTGCGGCTTCTGCCTGCCCCTGCCCCCCTGTCCCCCCCAACCCCGCAACACCTCTTGCCTGGAAATGCCACTGGCAACAGTGCCGGAGCGCGGAGGGCATGGAGCGAAGGCTTCTCCTCATGTGCCTTCCCTCCCCCCCCCGCTTCTCTCTGGCTCTTGGGTACTTAGGAAGGGGTAACCGATGGTGGGAGGGAGGAGGAGACCCCCACCCACCGACTCCCACTCCCCTCCTCACACAAGAGCTCCAGCCAGCCAGCAGGGCGTACCCTCAAAAGAAGGGTGACTGTGGCCGAAGAGAATGCCCTTCTGCACCGCCCCTGGCGCCAAGGGCAGAGGGAGGGCATGGGGTTCCAGCACCCCAGCCTGCCCTCCTCCGCACAGGCCCCCTTGTCCACATGCACTGCCTGCGGGGCAACTGGGAAGGCAAGCCAGGCAAGGAGCAGGAGAGATGCCGGGCTGGCCTGCCATGACTAAACCAGCAGGAATGCCTCCAGCGCCAATTCGCTCCCAAAAAGGAGATGGACAGGAACTGCTCTGCATCCACTTACTCACGAGGGGGTGGTGGTGGTTTGGAGCTGAATTTCCTGTTTATGGGCAGGCAGGGAGCCAAAGGCTGGGAGGTGGGATTTCCTCCCCCCACCCCTCTCTCTGACCGAAGGGAAAGGAGGAGCGGGGGAAGCCCTTTCCCGTCTCTCCCCCCTCCCCAAGCATACATTCCAGGCCAGGGAGGGGCAGCCTTCAAGTGCACCACCCAGAAGGCCAGGGCCAGGGCTGAGAGGAGCCTAGCCATCCTGTGGGGCCTGCGTATCCACTTGGCCCCCAGGGGCCACCCCAGAGAAGGGTATGGGAGCGGGGGGGGTGAACGGGGAGGGGTTGGCATCTCTCTTGGGCAGCTGCCCACTCTAAGGAGGGAAGCCCGCCTCCTCCAGGAAAGGGCAGGTCAGTGGGTGGTCTCCCTGGGCCAGGAAGACGTTGGCCAGCCTGCCCCACGTGGGCCGATGCCCATCCTGGCCTCATGAAGGGCCACCTCCGCTGCCTGCCGGGAGAGGACTGCCTCCTTCCTCGGAGGGGGCTTATGGGTGTGTGTGTGTGTGTGCCGTGCTGGCCCTTGGGCTTTCAGGCCCTGCTCAGCTGGTGTTTGAATCATCTGCCTCCCACAGCACCTATGGGATTCATTGCCACAAGACAGGGCCACAGCCACCTATTCAGGCCGCTGGATGCTGGCATTAGCCTCCTTCGCTGGAGGAAAGTCCTCCCTAAGGGACAGCCAGAGGGACTCCCCTCCTCAGAAGGAGCCTGCGGAGAGGGACCTGGAACTCCTTGCCTGACAAGAGGGGCCAAGCTGTCCTCCAAAACGGGGGGGGGGGGCTTGCTGTGGACGCAGTGACCAAAGCCCACAAGGAGCCCCCTCGGTTCTTGGCTCCCTCCCACCTCCCCATAAAGGGCCTCCCTCCACCACCACTACCAGCTAGGGCCTAGCAAAGGAGGGGAAAGCATCTCAGGGCTGGCTGGGGTGGTGGGGGGGGGACGGTTAGGGTGAGACCCTGAAGCTCCCTCTGTAAAGGGACTCCAGCCTGCTCTGCTCTGCCCCTCCCCACAGGACAGCCCATGCACAAGGGGGAGGGGGAGGCAGGCACGTGTCTGCCCCCAAAGACCTCATGGGCTTGGTCTGACTTCCCCTCAGTGGCACTGGGGGCACCGGTGACCTCTTGCCCCCCTCCCCTTAAGGGTGAATAGAGGGCCATGGGCTGCCTCCTGCCCCAGCAACCCTTCTCCCCACTTTAAGGGCTGCTTC